GCATGCCCATGCCGCGCCAGTGAACACCGCACACATACCAAAGAGGCACTGCACAGCTGACCAGTGCCCACACTGACACCTCTCCCCCTGTCCGCCCACTGGCCACTGAGTCCACTGGGCACACTGCTCACCACACTCCCTCGCGGACACTGAAAAGACCCCCACCTCAGTCCTGTCAACTAATGAAATTGTCCCGTTTCCTCCTGCACAGCGGTCGCAAGCGTCGAACGAGCAATCCGGAACTGATGGACGAGTGCACAGCTGCCCTGGTGCTGATGAGCCTGTCGGCGTCACCACGCTCCCCGACGTTCATGACTGAACGTAAGATTGACTGTCATTCCATGCTAGGTCCGCTCTCTAAACTGATGTGTGCGTCCTAGGTTTGTCTCGCATCTTCAAATGCACCTGGCCGCATTGTGGACAGGAGGCGTGGAACTGCTCGGATATTGAAAAGCACATTCGCGATGAGCATTTCCAGAAGTAAGTGCCTGTCTTTGCTTTCTTATCTAGCTGTATCCGATTCCAAACTTTACCTCCTTTTGCTGTAGTGGCGAAGAAATGCCGGGGGAAGAGGACTTTGACTTCTACTACACCGAGATTGACCTCCGACGGCAGGACTCCAATGGCCAACCAAAGAATGGCTTTGCCGGCCTGACGCACCCCGGCCCCGACTCGCCCGTGTCGCTCTCTGAGGACGGAGCGAGCAGCAGCAGCAGCACCAGCGCCGTCATGACCGGCGACAACTCCATGGACTCAAACCCACCTTCTCCCGAGCAGAGTGGCAACTCCTTCAACTTCTCCAAGTCCAACTCGGCCTTCACGCCGGTGCAGTACCGTCACCTGGAGGACCACGAATACAACCGCCGACCTGACCCAGCTGGAGTCAGCATTCTTGGATCTCGCCGCGGGCGCAAATCGGGAAACTCCTCAGTGCTTTCCCCGACCAGCACGGCCTCGCATCCTATCAACATTCCGCACCACTTGGACAGTGCCAGCGGCGCCGGTGGCCACCCGCCCATGAGCTCTTCCTTTGGCGGCTTCAGCGGTGCCAGCAGCCTCAGTAGCGGCTTTGGCAGCTACAACAACAGCTTCGGCTCCGGCTACATGCCACTCAGTCCACCTCGCAACTCGGGCTCGCTCTCCTCCTTCTCTACCGGCAGTAATAAGTATCTGCGAGTGGGGCAGGCTCGTGTCGACGGCTCAGGAACGACTATTCTCCAGAATAGTGTCAACCGAAGTTCTCCCACCAAACGCGTTCGCGGTGAAACTCGCAAATGCCGTAAAGTGTACGGAATGTCTCAACGCATGAACTGGTGCACTAGGTAAGAGATTTGTCTAGTGTTATTTATGGACACATTTCAAATAACTTTCATTTGCATCATTTTTCCCCTATTTCAAAAGTTGTCGCTGGAAGAAAGCATGCACCCGATTCTCTGATTCTTAATTCCTCAGATTCTCAAAGCATAGTCAGGTATGCTTATCAAATGAACCTTTTCATTTGTTTTCTTTTCATTCATTTATTCACTTTTCAGTGTTCAACATCTTCAATTTTATCCTGATCCTTAATCTGATTTCAATTTGATTCTTTCCATTGGATCACACCCGTTTTTTATCAATGTTCTCCTTATTCTCTACATTATATATGTTAGCTTTTCCAAAACACGGACACTTTATCCGGTAGTTTTTGGCAAGCCATCCTGCAACTCAACTTACGAACTCGAATCACACAGAAACGCACATTTGACCTCCAAATTGTCTTCTTTCTCTGATTACTCCGCCACTGCAATATATTCTTATTCAGATTCCCTCCTCTCTTTCACTCTCTCTCTCTCTTTCTCTTTCTTCCCCTTGATCAAATCTAAAAATATCCAGAGTTGGCACCAGATACTCTCCAGAGTGACACCACTGTACTGCAAATAATTTCTGGAGTCGATTAAGCCAAGTTAAGAAGATGGCGCATGCTGTCAACACTGGAATTCCCCTAAATATGATCGAAATAATGTGAAAATCAAGTAGCAGGAGAATTACTAAAGACTTTTCTATAACAATAACACCGGAAATACCTCATCGATACCACCAGGACGTGTCGTATGGCCCATGTTCAGCTTCACACTGTTCCGGTGTCTGACTGGCCTTGGTGCATTTGGCGACACGAAACCCAGTGGTCATCACTTTTTGTGGACACCCTCCGGCACAACTGACTTTTGCCCCATTCTTTTCAATGTCTCTGCTTGTAAATCTCTCATCCTCTCTGACCCTTTTCGTTTGTTTTCCCTTTGAATTTCAATTCTCATGCATTCTCTCGTTGCCATCTGCGCCACTCAGCTCACATTTTGTATAAATGTACACACACACCTACCTACCTTGGCATGCTCGTTCTCACCACCATCAGTACTAATACACATCACCTCGCCACTTTGAGCCAGTCACACACCGGCAAACCCATCTCTGCCATCATTCTCTTTGCTTCATCGCCTCACTCTTCGCTTCCATTACTCATTCTGCCATTAATGCCAAACCAAAGTACACCGAAGGCATCAGTGAATAACCACAATCTTACGTGCTCGACGTTACCTGCCAATTTTGAACTTCCTTCAATCGTCCTCCAAATTATTGCTCTCAAACTCTCTTTGAGGTTTTCACCTCTTTCTCGCTCTTTCTCTTCCCTTTCAGTCCAGCAAATGGCACAGCACTCTTTGTTTTTTGCAAAATTGTTATTTTTTGTTTGTACTTTAACCCTTCCCCTTTCTCCACTTTCTCTATCCACCTTTTCATTGTCTATCGGTTATTTATTTGTTTGAACATTTCATATATTTTTTCGCTTCATTATAGAGTTAAATTTTTTCAATATTGACTAGACTTGTTTTTGTTTCTTTTTTATTATCTTTTTGTTTTCACTGCCTAATGCTGTTTGCCCTGTTCTGGGTCATTGTTGCCCTATCAGTAACGCACAAACCATCTTCACTCAAACAACACCAGTCACTGGCAGCGAGCAAAAGGTATTTCACAATTGAAAATGGACAAAAATGTTTGCGAATCATGCAAGTCAGAAGAGCAGTCTGAAGCAAAAAAAAACTGAAAACTAAACAGATTGTAACAACCCATTTTTCAGGCATGGTCATCTAATGGCAATAAGAACACTGAACTTGTGGTCAATATGCTGAAACCAACTATTCAACTGTGCTTCATTTGAGCCCAAACCCTTTTCTCTGTCCATAGCTTGTACATTTAAAGCAACTCTCCGCACCAAACACTACATAACCTCTCTTTAATTTGACCTGTTTTCATTCATTTACTCAATCGTCTATCTTTTTGACTCTCACTCCCGTTTAATGATTGATTTCTCCCTCAATTGATCTTATATAAATTTATTTTTGTTTTACGTTTGTTCGTCTGCCTTGAGGTTTTTCCCCTTGCATTTGTTTTTTATTATTTTATTTTATTTTGGTTTTCCTCCATCACTACGCAAGCTACACAACTACATGGCTGTGAATGGCACTAAAATCAGCATGACGAGCTCATGTTTTCTTCGTTATCACAATTAACCAAAGCATGTACTTGCCTATCGTTCAAGGACACTGTGGCTTCAGATCTACACAGTTTTAAAATGAATCAACATTGATTGAATAGATTCAGTCAACTGCAGATGAAGATGGCTCAATATATCACACTGTCATCTTATTGAAACTTGCCACTGTCAACTTTCAACTTACGCTGCTGAAATGTCAATCAGCACATTTATTCTCAGGCCATAACCGATCATGAAAGTGATTTTCTTTTCATCCTCGTCTTTATCACACAAACACGCGGCACAGATTTTATTTACGTGCGTTACACTTTTATCTATCTTTTTCAACTTTGTTTTTATTTACTTTTTCACTTGAAAGAATCTTATTCTTTAAAGCCGTTAAAGTCGTAGATGTGATAGCTAAGCCCAATGCCCCTTTATGTTGTTGACACTACATTTCAGAGTTTGACTTTGAGGAATACACCAGTGGCCTGGACTCTGGAAAAAACTGATGTATAAAAATAGAACCGATCACAGTGAGCGCATCTATTCAATTGAATTCTGCTTGAAAAGAATTGAAATATTCTCTGCCAACAGACATTGCGTCCACTAGTCCAGAACACTTCCCTGGGTTCATTTTCTCAGTATTGCCACCTAAAGATGATTTATTTTTTGTTTTACTGAACTGTAACTATCTTGCCATTAACCACCAAACTATTCGTGCATTAACCTTTCACTTTTTGAACCCTCCATTTATCATCAACTTTTTCTCCTAATACACAGTTGTGTTCTGTTCAACACTTCCAGTATCGTAAGTTTTTTTAGACTATAAAATAAATAAATAGTGATAAATGTATACACACCATCATCAATGTAAACAAAATCGCATGTATTTACTCTTTACAAGAAATACCCCAACATTTACCCTTTTCAGCCACCGAACTGCACATTTATTCGGTGGATTAATCAAACTCCACTCGAGTCTCCTTTGGGCTCACAAGTGTTCATTGACTGCTATTTCTCCAGGTCAACTTTGTATACTTCCAACTACCATACACCTGATCACTGATTTCTGAGAAACTCTATTTTCTTTGTTCGCTTCCTTCCAGACCGGATTCGATGTATCATTTCTACTTAATCTGATGTAACATTCTCTATATTTACAGAAATATATAAATCGGTTGTCATTGTTTCATCTTAAAATGCCGAAAACATTTGGTCAAGTGTGTTTGAAAAATGTTTAACAAATGAAATGAATCATTTTCAAAATTTAGCAAAAATTAGCTTAGTTGTGCATTTGTGCCGTTGAGCGTTTTAGAGTATACTGAAGAATCTGTTTCAGTNACTTAATCTGATGTAACATTCTCTATATTTACAGAAATATATAAATCGGTTGTCATTGTTTCATCTTAAAATGCCGAAAACATTTGGTCAAGTGTGTTTGAAAAATGTTTAACAAATGAAATGAATCATTTTCAAAATTTAGCAAAAATTAGCTTAGTTGTGCATTTGTGCCGTTGAGCGTTTTAGAGTATACTGAAGAATCTGTTTCAGATGATCTCCTTTTAGGTGTTTGCTGCCGTGGCAACGTACACTGCTCTGCACCGGAACATCCTTTTAGATGAGCCAAGTTGCGACTCAGTTCTTCGATGGTAGAAAACTCAAGCTCGTAAATGGCATTTTTCAACTAAAAAAGAAAATGTGAGTACAGCAAGTATGAAGGGAAAGTAGTTACGAGTTGACTAACCTGAAATGGGTCTTTAAGTAAATCAAAGTATGCGATAAAGCCGGTGACAAATTCACAGTAAAGACTGTTGTGCGTTTCGTTGATTGTTCGTAAACACTCAAACGAGTTATTCTGAGCGTTTTGGCAAAAACAGAATGGCGCTTGGGTCCAAAATGGCGCCGTCTTCCAATGGTCTGGCCCATGTGTGAAGCAGTTCATCTGTTCATTGGCATCTGCTTTGCATGCAGTGTTCTCGAATTTTTCCTTCTTTCTCATCTTCTTCTCATGTCGACGACTCCACTTCTTTCTAACCAAATGTTTCATAAAACGTCTTTCTACTTGTCGTCGAGGATGAACTTGCATTCGTTGAGAAAACTGAGAAACACCACCAGCCGTTGGGTCACAGTGACATTTTTTACTCTTTCTGCCTGAAGACGGTGCCTTAATTGGTCGCTTTTCATTCATAAACCGGCGAATACCTTTTAACTCAAGCAATCGTCGTTGCAGTTCTTTTATAGCTGCGTCAATATGATTTTTCCTGCAAAAATAATACACAACATTTTGACTTCACATAAACAAATAAGTTAAACACTCACTTTTCTTTCCACGACTCCTGATTGTGATAAATCTCTTCAGTGCACTCAATACTTAAATTAGTGCGCGCAACCGTACAGAATGTCCTATTCAAGTAATCAGTGTAGTTTGACATATCGGTTAATTCTTCAGTTTGCAGAATTGAAATCAGCTGGCTGGTTGTGATATTGGAAATATCGTTCAGAGAACTGTTTACGGTGACTCGATTTACATTCAAGTTTCTATCTTCTTGTGCGTTTCTAGAGGTGGGGGCGGTCGATTTGGCAAGATCAACAAGTTTTTTCAAATCATACACTCCAGCAACGTCAAAATTGTTAACATTTTCTCTTGCAGAATGCATCCCTGGTTCATCACGAAACATCGAGAAGAAAGAAGAAGTCCAAAGAGAATCATCACTTCGTTTTAATCGCGTTTCCCTTTGCCTTTGCCACTGAAATGATCCATCATGCTGATTGTTCACTTCGTTTCCAAAATTTTTCAGAGAAGCTGTTCCATTTGGACAAATGCACTGATGCTTTCTTCCTCGGTGACTACGAGAGCATTTTCTAATGCGGTATGCTCCATTTCTGTCTGTAAAACACTCAAACTTTTGATACATTTTGCATGGACTTGAATATTCAGGTTTTTGGCACTCAAGTTGAAGCCACTGCTTTTTTCCAATAATGGGAATCAGTAACTTATCAACGCTTACAGGCACTTTGAATTTGCCCTTTTCAATGAGAAACGAGTCTCGGTAGATAAGCTTCTTATCAACTCGTTCTTGCCTTTTTGAACGGCTTTCCAATTTAGATTTTTGCTTGCTTAAAGTATTGTTGAGTTGCTTTAGATATGGCAAAAAAGAGATTCCATCCATATGAGAAGGAATTTTAACTCCAGCAATGTCTAACAAGGTTGGGGCAATGTCAATATTTAGCACAATTTGCGGCAACCTGCAGAAAAGATAACTATATAGAAAGTGAAAAAATACTCAGTTTTAGCTTACGTTTGATCGTGAGGAACACCTGGTCCACGAACAAAAAATGGAACTCGAATATCAAACTCAAACGGCATGGCTTTTCCTTTAACCAGGCCAAACTGGCCGAGGTGATAACCTATCAAAGAAAGCATGAGTATTGCAAAGCAAACAGAAAGGCAAAGATAAAAACAAACCATGATCAGACGTGTAGATGATGTAAGTGTTTTCTAATTCTCCCAAGTTTTTCAGCTCAGAGTATATTTGATAAACAGCATTGTCGACAGATTGAAGTGTTTGCAATCGTTTGGTGTTTAAAAAATCGGTAAAATCTTGATGGATGCGAGCCATTTTCGGTGTTTTTCTTAGCAACCATTGCTTATCGCCATTAGGTGCGTGATTCCAACTTGGTGTACTGCAAAAATGACAACACAAATGATAAAAACTTAAGTTACAAGTTAATCTCCAACAAACCGATGCCCTTTTTCGTTAAAAAACATTTTTTGAAATTGCGGTGCAGCATCTTCAGGGCCATGTGGAGATGGAAAGCTCATGACCATGAGGTAGGGTTTGGAAGAGAAAAACCGGTTCGAGTATCGCATATACTGTAGGCTATCGTTAAGAATCAGATCTGGGTAATAGTCGAGGTGATAGTCAGAGCCATGGCGCACTCGGTCTCCATTCACGTTTAATTGATATGAATAGTAACGTGAATTTCTAATCAGCCCTGAGAAATGAGACCATCCGGCTGGAATGTAGCTTCCGTTGTATTCATTTAAATATTTTCCAAAAAAAGCCGTTCGATATCCTGAGTCATGAAGGTATTTACCAAAGCTTTGTGACTCGTATGTTTTCTGCCATTGAGGGGAGCTACAGTTCTCGCCATTAGTCTGTAAAAAGAGGATAACTGTTTATTAAAAAGTCCCCACAAATTCATCAGACATGTTTACATAAACATTATGATTGTGTACATAACGGCCAGTCAAAATTGAACTTCGAGAAGGGCAGCACATTCTACAAATGTAAAAGTTAGAAAGACCCGGGTTGCTCATGCACAGATTACTTACGGAGTAGTAACGTAGGCATTTTTCACATGAACACCTCCCCGGGAAAGAATTGACAGAGCTTTAGGCATGTAATTCATAGAACCTGTGACACAATAAACAATAATTAAAAAAAAGTTAAGTAAAAATCACATTTCAAGTACCTAACTCTATGTCTTGGTCGTCGGTAAGCATGAAAATAATATTTGGACGTTTCTTAGTTTCCGGATGTCCTCGACGGTGTGCACTGTGATGATGCCGCTTCTTTGACTGTTGTTGGCTAGGAAAGTGAGATGAACGAACGTAGAAATTGGTGGATTTTGAATTAGAGTACAGTGTGCTTCGGCTGAAGTTAAAAACAGGATCATAAAGAGAGATTTGGTTTATGTGACTAGAAGAGGCAAGGAGCAAATCCAAATTAGAACTCTGTCCATACTGGTGAAATGAAGCATTTTGAAAGCTTTGGTTTTTCAAGTAGGTCGATGTTTCTGAAACTGGCAATGCTTGATAAACTCGAGGAAGTTCATTATTAAATCTTTCAGTTGAATGAGCAAACTTGCTGGTCTGATGGTTTTGTCGATGTCGCCGTTTGCTAACCCAAAACTGGGAGCCATTGGGTCTAGCCCATTGTCTTCTACCATTGACTGATTTTCTAGCTGGAAAAATTCCATTTTCGGCATTTAAATCACAGATGAGCAGAAGATTTAGAATTATTGGGATCACAAGAAATAGTAGACTAAAGCGTTTCACTATAAATAGAAGAATCTCTGGCCAAAATGACCAGAAAGCAGATTTTTGATTCATTTAAAAAGATTTGAAAATTATTGCAATTATCATGTACAAAGTTTTCAAAATGAAATGAACGATAAACGGCAGTATTGACTGATAGTTTGGCTTGCGGAGAACATTTTGGCAATTCTATATTGTGAAAAAAATTATGATTATTTAAAAATGCAAATAAAAAACGAGAAATTAATAAAAAAAGTTGCAAAAACTTATTTGTTTATGTATTAAAAAACTAGTTAACAATAAAATCAACATTACTTGTAGAAGCAGTGTGTGTTTGCGCCAAATAAGGCACAGCGCACTTCACATAATACTATACGATTGAGGGGAACCAGAAAGGCACTGAAAGTTAAGAGAGTTCTTTCATTGAGACAGTCGCTCGTTGGACATTGTCGTCTGCAAACGAAAGAGATAGCCCATTCTGGCTGCGTTTATAATGTAGCAAATTAGTAGAGTGCGCTTTTACAGACAAGTTTAGCAAAAGCAAATCAAAGACTGGATCGCCCACGATTTCCGACCGTTTTTTCATTTTTTTTTAAAAATTTATTTGAATGTCTAGTTTAGTAGGTTAAAAATTACTGACAAATGACACTGAAGAAAACTGTCATTTGAGAAATCGTTAGAGCTTTTGAGGCAGAAATAAAAGCCAATAGCAATGAATATTTCCTGTGCTACTTAAGTAGTAGTAAAACTAAAAGGAATTGTAAATAAAACCGACANTGTAAATTAAACCGACAGAGAAAAAGATGATGATGATGAATTTGTCTCTCTGTCAAAAATTCTTCACACANGACAAATGACACTGAAGAAAACTGTCATTTGAGAAATCGTTAGAGCTTTTGAGGCAGAAATAAAAGCCAATAGCAATGAATATTTCCTGTGCTACTTAAGTAGTAGTAAAACTAAAAGGAATTGTAAATTAAACCGACAGAGAAAAAGATGATGATGATGAATTTGTCTCTCTGTCAAAAATTCTTCACACATTACAGGAACTGAAAGCGAGACTGCTGGTAAATCTCCAATTTCAAAGCAGGTGTGCACCGCTGAACAGCGAGCTTCGACCCCTGCCACCGACCGCAATTATCGTCTGCTTCGTTTGCTTCCCTCTCCTTCTCTCTTTCTCTGACTTCTCAGTATAATTATGGTCTTTTACGAGTGTTTATATTAGCATATTTGCCATAGACAACAAATGGCCCAGCCAATCGACATTGCCAAACGGTGCTGCTGACGGTGGTTGTGCTGATGGCAGTGTTAGTGTGTCGAATGCCACCGGTTCTGCAAATGCTGAAGAATGCAGTGGCAAAATGTGGTGCTTGCATCAACTTTGGCATTTGCCAATGTCAAGAGCAAAAGTACAAAAAGTCGACAATGGAGAAGAACTAGCATTGAAAATTTAACAAGTCATTTGGCGTTGTAATGCTGCTGGCTAACTAGTGCTGTCACTAAAAGTGTTTTGTCAAGACAATCATTCAAGATTCCATTACATAAAAGTTATGATTTTTGACCTGTTGGTCTGAAACGTGTGACAACTTTTTGCTGTATAAGCTGATTCTTAAGTATAATTTGCTTGTAAAACAGCAATTTAATGTTAAAATGCGATTCAGCGAAAACATAAAAAGCTAACTCAAGCACTATCATGCGGTCCTTGACTCGTACAATGTTCAGAAAGCATCTATCTGCGATGACTGCATGAGAGCAATTAAAAGGGTTAATTGTCGCACAGGGGGTAAGGCAATAAATGTGATGTAGTGAAAGAAAGTGAATGACCAAGTGTTAAAAATTATTACAGGTTTTAGATGGTTTACACTCCCTGGTGAGTGCAGGATAATCAAAAGTTGAAATTCTTTTGCCAGACAGGATAAGAAAAGTTAATTTATGAAGACATGCACTTTTCAGGAGAAGTCTGCAATGATTGCTCAAAATTGATGCGACAACAAGAGAAAGTGTAAGTAATTGGAGATATGTAAAAATGATATTTTGCTACAGAGTTGTCAAAAATTAAACTTACCTGACTAATTTGACAAACTAAATTTGTTTTGATGATAGCTTCAGACGTAGTTGAGTTGAAATACTATGCGTGTTTTGCTAAAACTGAAAAAGTTGAAAAAGCTNAATTTGACAAACTAAATTTGTTTTGATGATAGCTTCAGACGTAGTTGAGTTGAAATACTATGCGTGTTTTGCTAAAACTGAAAAAGTTGAAAAAGCTTAAAGTGCCGGCAATTGAAGTGATGATAGTAGAGGGTGAGCAAAAAGATGTGAATGAATGGACGAGTAGATTTGACGAAGCAATGAATGAGTACTAGGCGCCAACATTGAAGGCGATAATGCGAATAAAACTGCGGCTATAAACGGTGACAGCCAGTTGCTCTGACTGTCTGCGGAAAAGTGCTGCTGGTTCAATGTTCGGCACTGCGGAATTGTCTGTCGACGAATGAAGCGAATTTGTAGGGACAACAGGCGCGCACATCTCCCGACTAGTGCGTCTGCATGTGGCCACTGGAAAGTATGTGCAAAGTGAAGAGTGAGGCACTACTACTTCGGTCAGCGTTCCTCTTCGGTCGGCGTGTGTCCGTCCGGTGGAGTGAGTTCGGCAATGCTCGGTGCAGCGCAAAGCCTCAGCGCTCTAACTGAGTGAAACTGCAGACAGAGCTGCACAGAATGTAATCACCAAAAGAGACACAAAAGGGCCATCGAGAGACGCGAGGTGGTGAAGGCTGACAACGAGGAGAAGGAGACGAAGAACAGGCAGTTGGAGGCAGCAAGAGCACCGAAAGAACCGGCATTTCAAAGCCGCTGCAGGCAAAGAAACAATACAATGAGAAAGAGTGTGGCAGTGTGTTCAGCCACTGCGCAGAGCTGGCCAGCCTCCAGCTAGGGCCACCGGCAGCTGCTGTCAGCTGTTCAGCAGAAGATCGATTCTGCGTCAATTCCACTGGCTCATTGCATTCTACTGGCAGTGCCCATTCAGCCATTCGTACAGCTCGTCAGAAGAGGCCACTCACTTCAGGTCACATCATTCAGGCCCGTTCTCTGTGAGCTTCATTGTTTCAACGCCCTTCAACGTTCCACGGGGCCTTTCTGCTTGGCACGT